GGGGGACTCTCAAAGCCTTTGAATAGCTGTTTGTTCTTGTGAAAAAAAGAGACTAAAATAAACAAAGTAGGAGATTACCTATGAAACAAATACAGAAGAGTCTACAAATGTTTACTGACTGAACATTTACCCCAAAACATCTGTTTTCTTCCTAAAAACCAAGCACAAAAGTTTTAAGGGGGAAAATATCCTAAGCTTAGAAATAATCAAGATTCTGGAGACAACAGTTCCTTCCTTCCTATTTTCCTTCCTTCCATATGTGTACATTTTGTATGCTGTCTACTCATATGGCTCTAGGTGGCTTACACTAAATAATTAAAATATATATATATCCATAGAATTGTAATGGAACAATTCACTATAAACAGAGATATTGGCTACTATGAAAAAGAACTGCTACTACCACTAGATAAGATCTTTCTGCCAGTGTGTCCTCCAAGAGAGGACCATCTTTTCATTTTTTCTGAAGAAAGGGGAGGGGCATATTTGGCCTCAGGGGCAAGCTCTTCCAGAGGGAGTCTAGAACAGTGATGGTGAACCTTTTGGGCTTGGCATGTCAAAAATTCAGAAAATGCCTCACTTGACTCTGCTGGCGTGTCACCCCACCGAACAAAAGAGAAACAATTCTTTACGTATTCATTCATTAAAAAAAATATATAGTCCAATTATGTGTGGTGCTATGTATTATATAAAGAAACGTCAAATAATTACAGAAATGAAATACAAGTAAAACAAACTCAGTTGCTCTGATAACTCAAACAGGGAGAATAGTTGTTGCTGGGTGTTGATGAATGCTGTAATGTCACCCAAAATGTCGTGGCTTGTCACCTTTAACATGTGTGTCATAGGTTCGGCATCACTGGTCTAGAATGCCATTCTCTGGGTCCTAACCCCCAATCTCTCTAGGGATGGGTACTTGGAGCATTCTCCCCTTGCTAGACTGTATAGGGAGGGCAGATTCTACCAGAAGACCATCATGAGGGAAACAAGGGCATAAGCTATAGAACGGATGCTTCTTCAGGTCAGGCTCCAGATAGTTATTTGTACATGTCTTAAGGAACTTTTGCCTAAAATTTATCCATTTTTAAACAATGGAGGGTGAAAGTACATTCTGATATGGGATGAAGGTTTGTTGTTCAAAAGAAAATATCTCACTTGGTAGAAACAAACCTTGGGATTCCCATACACCGGTAGCTAGAAGTGTTTGAAAATAAGATCATTTAATTTCTCTTCTTCAGCACTAATAACAGGTGTATTTCTTTATAACAACAAATCCTTGATTGTGATATGAATCAAAAACAAATGGAAGGACATTCCCTATTTACATATTGAACCAGATCCCAAGTAGAGGCAGAATGAACAGAAATCAATAGGAGTTCTTTCTTCAACTCAGCCCTTGGGCTGAAGAATTTTGAATGGAATCTAGGAAAAATTTGTCTCTGCTTGCAGAAAGTACATAATCATTAATGGGGAGATCACAACTTTCTCTAAAGCCACCTAGTGAGTGACATGACTGAGCAGATTTTCAGGGCCTAGACTCAATTGTTTTCCTCTGGAGCTGTTTTACACACTAGCTGGGAATTCTAGAAGTTGTAGTTTCAATACATCTATAGGGGACCAGATTGCAGAAGGCTACGTGAAGAAGCAAGCCTGTTCCAGTGCCTGGGATTTATTCTCAGGAAGGAATGGAAACAGTGGTGGTTCAGGGTGCTCTCTTGAAGTGGCACCAGCAAGTTGTGTGTATCCTAGGACAATCAAATCTGGGCTGCAAAAATCTGGACGAGATGACAGCAAAATGTTTTCTGTATCTCTGCTGTCATCTAATGGTTGCCCTAATCAATACATACTGAGGTTGGGTGCCATGGTCACCTGCTGATCCCTTCTATCTGTTACCCCACCCACTCTGCCACCTTAAACGAATGCATAGGATGTTCCCTGGCTCTCAAGGAGACCAATTTTTTTTTTCCTAGAATGAAGGGCTACCTATGCTTGAGGGCCCCAAAATGGCCACCACTCCTGCCTTGAGTGTATTTATGCCACTGAATTTATATGTCTGCCTTTTTTTAATATGCACCTATTTCTACAGTGCTAAACAGACATTGATTTACCCAGAAGAAATCCAGCAAGGCCTGCCATCTTGTGGGGGAAGTGGAAATGTCTACGTGTCTTATTTAAACAAGGAGATGGCTTGTTTGGGAGATGAAAGAAAAGTGATTGACATTCCCATCCCCATTACTTTTTTTTTAAAAAAGAAATGTCTTTTAAAAGCCTCCCTGTTAATTCTGAGGGGCTGCCAATGCCTATTTTATTTTTAATGGTTTTTTTATAGCCAAATACAGACTGACCATATCATTTTCTGTCACGTCACATTTTAAAATATCGCTCACATTTGATGTTTTAAATGGCTGATGCTCTAATTTACCCTTTAAACTCCATTGCCAAATGTTTATCAGTTTCTCTAGACTTCAACAGATGACACAGTTCCTTTTCAAAAAAGCTTATGGCTTCTTTTGAACTGACTGCTCTTTACCTACAATGGAATGGTCAGTCTGGGGTCTGAGAGCTGTACTTCTTATTTGGGATGGTGAGGGTCACAGAGTGTGTATATAATACTACCGTATCTGGGCTACAAAAATCCAGACAATCACTTGGTGGCAGAAAAGAATCCAAGTTTTCTGTGGGTGGAAAGATATTTGGGCAAGTTTGAAGGATTTTATTTTTTCGCTTTGGCATGCCCATTTAAGGGCTTAGAGCTTTCACATGTTTCTTGTCTCAAATTGGCAGGAAATTTTGATAGCAATTTTCAGTGATCATGATCAGAATAGAATCCAAGGGCTGCAGAAAGGAGATTTGGACCATCACCAAAGCCTGGTTCCACGTTGGAGACAGTTCAAGCAGTTTTTTCTGGAGGACCCTTCCTTCTGGTAACACAGGCTGTCTGCAAAGCTATTTCTCCAAACAATACTTGGTTGTTCTATCTAGTCATCCTTTGAATTTCTTCCCATGCTGTATGGCAAGGCTCTGACAAAGGCATTATAGGGAATTTTTAAAAAATGGCTTTGTAATGCTCTGAATGATAGGATGGGGAAGAAAAGAGAGGCGGCATTGACAGTGGGCCTCACCAGAATATTGAGGATCTAGACAAAAGGGGTCATGGGGCAATGCTGGTTCTGCAAAGCTGAGCAATTCTGAAATCTGGATGGCCTTTTGGGTGGCATGTGGCACAAAGATAAACCCTTCAAAATATCAGTGTACTCACAAACATTTTACCTGATATTAGTTAAGGTGGGATGATTTTTCAGTGCTTCTGCAAAAGCTATTGCTCCTTCATCCCCAATCTGATTTCCCCACATTCTGCCAAGGGCAAAAAGAACAGATACATTAAGGAACATTACCACTATATTCTTTTAATGGCTGGGATCACACATTACAGTAAGCCATCAGAAAATCACACTAGTTGATAATTCAGGGAGTTGAAGTCCACACACATGGAAAGTGCTCAGGAAGGGGAAGTCTGGTTTATGCTTAGCATAATGTGTGAATCAGGTCAATTGTGGTTTTTTTCAATAATCAATTTTTCAATTTTAAAGGTAAAATACATCTGGTTTAACATGATGTGGGAACACAATCAATAAAAAAAAATCTAAAATCATCTCTGATGCTTGGAAAAAGATGTGAACCCTTTGCAAGTAGTTATTTTTATGTGTTGCATTTCTTTTCTGCTTTTTCTCTGGAAGGTCAAGATGATTTAGGTTGAGGTCACTTCTCCCCTTATTTTATCCCCACAACATTAATCCTGTGAGAGAAGAACCTGCCCAAAGTCATCCAATGAGCTCAGTCATTGAGTAGGTCTTGAACCTTCATCTCCCCATTCCAAATGCAGCATCTTAACCATTCCAGTCTAGACTGGATTTGCACAGCACCCTTAACATGGTTGCTGAATTAACCAATTTTCTGGATTTTAACAGTAGACTGAATCATAAATGAATCAAATGGTCTGGGTTCACCAACACACTAAGGTACAAAAAACTGCCATCCTCATCATCCTCATCAATCTATCCAAGCTTTGTGTTTTGAACAAATGCAACTCCTGAGTCTTTAAATGACCTACTAAAGCATTTTGTATGAACAGAGCCTGTAACATAGGGAAGTGGGGATAAGCATGCTGAGCCCTGTCTTTCCCCATACAGTGGAGAATCAAGCTGGTACCCTATACAACTCATATAGTTCCCAATGATCTAGAATCTGGATTACCCAACGTTCTACACAGAAATGAAGCTAAATACTGAAAACAAAATCTCCTTATTGTAGAAAATCACTTTCAAATTCACTGAGATGGATCCAATGAGATGGACAGATTCAGAACTTGCATGCAGTTCCCTACTCTCTCTTATGCAATCTAACCACAACATTGGTTTGAGTGCAATATAGGATTTCTACAAGTACATGCACCCAGAAACTGGTAAATCAAAATACTTTCCCCCAGTATAACTTTCTGGCTATAAATCTAGCATATAATGCTAATGAGTTATGGTTACTGAACATTTTTAAAAAGGGGATTCAAACTAAACTTAGCACTTAGCAATACTTCGAAATCAATAGGGTTTAAATTAATAATGGTTAAAGTAAGTTGTATTGATTTCAATGGGTTCTATCAAAGTATAACTAAATCTGGATCCAACCCAGTAATTTTGGATCCAGCCCACAACTTTGACTCTTGTAAAGCTTGACTACTGGGGCATTTCAAAGAAATGTTCCTGTGTGCATGTGCAAAAAGTTAAAACTTATTTTCAAATGAGATAAGACAATTTGCAAGATGACACATGCTATTATTTCTAAAATTCATGAGATCTTACTAATCAAGAATATTAACCACAATTAAAGAATGATATACATCCAACATCATTCACAAATGAAGACACCTGTTCAATATTAACTGATACCAAACACAACAGTCTCTCTATAGGACTGTATAGGAGATATGGAATTTGAACAATGCATCAACTTGGAATTTTTGATAGGATAACATTTCTTTAAAATCTATTTTAGCCAAGTTGTCAAGACTTCTATGTATAAATCATTCCTAGAAGAAACTATATTCCCTTGCATTATATTAATCAAAATCATCATAGATTATATTTAGAACTTCTTAATCAAATTGTGCATATTATTTAGTTACTTATTTTAGTTACTTGTTTTTCCGAGGATGCAGAAAAGGGTGCAGAACTAGAAATTAATTTAATTTTCATTGTTAACTGCCAAATTTACTGTAGCAAAATACTGGGAAACTAAAGCACATCTTTGTTTGGTTTAACTGTATTTAAATGTGTGAGAAACAGTTTTGGCTGAAAAATTAATATAGTAGCAAAATATCTTGAACAGCCTTTTAATTACAGATTGTTTTATTCACATTTGATTTGGTTTTTTTTTTTTAGATACATCAACAAACCAATTCCTGAGAAATCCTCCATTATGCAAATGCCTTTTTGGACATATTACAGGTAGTCCTTGCTTAATGACTGTTTAATGATGGTTCGAAGTTACAATGGCCTTGGGAAAAGTGCTTTACGACCCCATAGTTACATGATTGCAATTTGTGACCTTTTTACAACAGTCATTAAGCTAATCCCCATGGTCGTTAAGTGAATCACTATGTCATTAAGTGAATTCTGGCAAAAAAGTCCCATATTGGGGAAGCTGGATTCGCTTAATGACATGATTCGCTTAACAACCGTGGTGATTTGATTAATGGCCATTGTAAAATCAGCTCTGATTCGCTTAACAACCAAATTGCTTAGCGACCTAAATTCTGGTCCCTATCGTGGTTGGATAGTGAGGACTACCTGTAATTGAATCTGCATATTTACAATTTATATTTCACCTTAAGATTATGAATGTAAAGATTCCTTCGGTCAAGTTCAGCTTTTGGTGATTCTGTGGACACATCTACATAGTTTTCTTGGCAACAGTACAAAAATAGTTTGCCACCACCTTCCTCTGAAATGTTTTTTGGACTTCCCAGTATAGCTCACAATCCTGGGATTCAGTCTGCATATTACCCAGGTTTAGCTTTTGGGGAGATTTATCAAGTTCATGTAGGTGTTGCTGCTTGTATAGTTCCCAATGATACAGAATTTAATTTATTTTTGCTTTTGTGCAGTTTGTTTCCTGTTTCCTGTTTCTTTTTTGTTTTGTTTTATTTTTACATTGTCTTTTATGTCCAGTGACTGGTTAATAACTAAGTTTAAACATCTTTTAAAAAGTTTTCTTTAAAGTTAGGAATGTGAAGGTAAGAAAATGCTTTCAAGTCAAGTATAGAAGGACAAAGGAAGCTAGCAATGGGATTAGAAATGAGGGTTAATAAAGCTAGACTATGTAGCAGCATAAATGAACAATATTAAAATGTAATTACAGATAGCCCTTGTTTAATGACCACTGTTTGAATTTACAATAGCACTGAATGAGTGGTAGTTATGACCAGACCTCATACTTACAGTCACTGCAATGTCCCATGGTCACATAATCACGATTTGTGACCTTCCCTGCCAGCTTCCCACAAACAAAGTCAGTGGGAAAGCCGGCAGGAAGTCGGAAGTCATGGTCATGTGAGGTCCTCACTTAACAACCCACGCAGTCCTTGCTTAATGACAACAACTGAGACTGCCAGAACTGCTGTCATTAAGTAGTGCAGTCACATGTTTTTTTGACTTATGACTGTGTTGCTTATTGACAGAGTTTCTGGCCCCAATTAGTATCATTAAATGAGGACTACCTATACTGGTTTCTGTCCAGAACATTTTAAAAAAATGTCGCACTTACCCAATTTCATACATTGTTTTACTCTTCTGGATGGCATAAGCAAGACTTTTCCCTCCTTCAGTTGTTATTTTGTTTGCTCCTATCCTGCAAAGAAATTATTTTTTCCTGAAAATCAAATCAACAAACATTTTTGTTTCAATGCTGTTTTAGACTTAACATTGTGCTGGAAAAAACTGGGTCTTTCCCCATGGCTCAGATAGCACTATGCCCCCATTCCTCCACTAGCATAAAATTTGATAACCCCACTTCTGATCCTTATCCTGCCTTTATGACCTCTGTTCTGGCTTGCTGCTCCACGGTGGTGTCCTGGTTTCAGATGTGTAAAGGTGACTTAAGCAAAGGCACTAGTTAAGCCCTCTGGCTTTGTTGCCCCTCTCCTTTCTAACTGGCATCAGCTTGCAAACATCTGCTGGTTACATCTCTGCTGTAACTGGCAGCTGGAGAACTGTGATGAGGGAAAGAGGCATGCCTGAACCAGCTTTAGGATGTTTTTGCTAACTTACAGTTATGATTAACCACAATTTCACACCTGCCATACTCTAAGTAGTAGCTAATCTAAAAAAAGTGGAAACTTCCAACATTCTCCAAAGAAGTGAGCACACTAGCCTGCTCTTATATCATTAAATCGTGGTTTAGCATTACATCTAAACACACCCACCTGCCTTTTACCAGCAGAGTCTGCTTTCTAGTTCATAGTGCATACTCTTTCTGTTCTTTTATGAATTTTTAAAAGTAGCATGATTATAGCAATTGTGTTGGATATCAATGACAGGTCAATCTGTGTATTTCTGGGTGTACTGATTCAAATTTCAGTAGCTCTTTTAATATCCATCCATCCATCCATCCATCCATCCATCCATCCATCCATGGTACAAGATTTTTTCTATTTCTGAAATTGTCTGTAGAAATTCTGAACCTATGTCATATGACCTGTCCTTTTTCACACGTACTGAAAGTACAGTGGTACCTCGGGTTACAAACGCCTCTGTTAACGAACTTTTCGGGTTACGACCAGCTCTGGCCGCAAAAAATTTAT